CTATGCATAACTCGGATCTATTAGTAAGATAGTACATGCACCTCTATCTATGCATAACTCGTATCTGATAATAAGATCATCGATAAATCCACATGAACAGACCACACCCTTCGCACACACAGCTCGACCATCAGACGCTCCCGCTCAATGATTAACGCATACCACACTCAGCCACGTTGATAGTAGTGCATACGCGGCAGAAACAGACGTTGTAGCTGAACTCCCACGTCTGCGCAAACAGCGTCGTGTGACATTCAATACCACACACTACAGGTGCACATATGTGCCCAACTATACATGTGAACATGTGTGCTTGACATTACAAATGCACTACATTTGCACACGTGTGCTTAAATCATATGCGGATGATAAATGGGGTTACCATGGTACACACGCAAAGACAGTGTCATGGTATGATAACAGCTGTGGGTCATCCCTGGGAACATTAGCTAATCACCTGATAAATATTACATCTGATATATATTACCTACACACCTGACAATGTTACCTACACATCTGACATATGTTACCTACACGCCTAATAAGCACTACCTACACACACACACCTAACAAATACTACTTACATACTACCTACACATACTACCTACATACTACCTACACATACACATCTAGCACACACTACCTAAACATACCCACCTAACACACACTACCAACACATACACACCTAACACATACTACCTACACATACACACCTAACACACACTACCAACACATACACACCCGATAAAGCTTCGCTGATGGCGTTGCGTATGCAAGAGATCCATGCGTTGTGGCTGAACTCACTCATGACCGCAAACGTCCACGAGTGACTGGGTGAGATGACGGTGAACGAATACTTGGGAAACGTCGTGCGCACCTCCTTGACTGTGCACGTGTACAGTGGTATCTGCTTGGTTGGCTTGGCCTCTTGCAGGGGTAGGTTGTGCTAGGGTTGTTAGGGTTGTGGATATGGTAGGTAGGTATAAGGGTTGTTTTAGTGGACGGAGTGGACGGAGTGGAGGGGTGGATGTGGTGTGGTTGGGTGAGATAAGTGGGGACGGTTGGAAGAGAGCATTTCATGCAGGGTTAGACCTGAAAGCATGAGAGAGAAACATTAGAAAAACCCTGGGAGACATCTCCATTCAGCTGTGCAAATGCGTAACGTTATAACACTGGGCTGTATTATAAATGTGCGGTGGATGTGACCCCTCACACTTCCATTTCAGTTGTGCATGTGTACACTTTTATATCAGTTGTGCATGAGTGCACCTTTATTTCTAGGTATTTGTGTTTGTGAACATACACAAAGTACAAGAATCAACCCATTTCAGTCAGATGCCAAAGTCTGTGTGCATGGACAGTACCTTTGTGTAGTCAAGGAGAATACGTATACGTAAATGCACACTAGACAGTGTAGACGTACATGTATACTATATACTATATGTGCATGCCTGGGCTACATATACATATATACATATATACGTTAGTATATTAATGTGGTGCTCATATATACACAAAATATACACTAAACAGTGTATACGTACATGTATACTATATGTATGTGCATGCCTGGGCTACATATACATATACATATGTACGTCAGTATATTAATGTGGTGCTCATATATACACAAAATATACACTCAACAGTGTATACGTACATGTATACTATATATATGTGCATGCCTGGGCTACATATACATATATACATTTGTACGTTAGTATATTAATGTGGTGCTCATATATAGCAGTACGAACTACCATGAACACCTGTAGTACTGAAAACACCAATAGACCACAACTTAAACCCTATTGTAAAAAAATATATATGACAACCTCTCTAATTCTGAGAGAGGTATGAGTGGTCAGCTAGGTGCAGCAAAGCAATGAAATGCGCATATAGAACACCCGCGTATACGTAATATATCCATATCAGCTTGTTTACCAATCTTATATAGGTAGAGTGATTGGGGGTGTACATGTAGGTAGAGAGATTGAAGGTACACATGTAGGTAGAGATATTGAAGGTATACGTATAGGTAGAATGATTGAACGTATACATGTAGGTAGAGATATTGAAGGTATACGTATAAGTAGAGTGATTAAACGTATACATGTAGGTAGAGTAATCGAAGGTACACATGTACGTAGAGAGATTGAAGGTAAACCCATAGGTAGAGATATTGAAGGTATACCTATAGATAGAGTGATTGAAGGTATACATGTAGGTATAGGTAGAGTGATTAAAGGTACACATGTAGGTAGAGCGAATGATCATATACATGTAGGTAGAGTGATTGAAGGTATACATGTAGGTAGAGATCTTGAAGGTTTACATGCAGGTAGAGTGATTGAAGGTATACATGTAGGTAGAGATCTTGAAGGTATACATATAGGTAGAGTGATTAAAGGTATACATGTAGGTAAAATGATCGAATGCATACCTACAGATGCTATGTATATCTGTACCTACACCCGCACCACCTACCTGCATATATACATTCGCATACCCAAAGCACGCATACTGAAAGGTGTGTGTGTCAAACATATAGCACATACTTGCGACGGACCTATATGCAGCACCCCATTCTCAACCACAATCCATCGCTTGTTAAACCCGCTGAACCTGGCACTCTTCTTATACACCCAGCCACCTGCGAATAGTGGACAAATAACAAGGAATGATGCCCTACTCTTAGTATTCTGAATGGGCTGGTGAGGTTTGGGTCTGGTCATCCCGTGCTGATTGGTCTTAAACCCTAGACGTTTATTTCTCATAGGCAAAATAGCATTGGACCTCTCCACATGCACACGCATACATTCATCCATACATCCGCCAATCAAACTCAAACAAACGAACGCAATCACACACCCATTGCACACATACTCTGATACGCTTTCGAAGGCACACACATGCTGTCGTATATCATTTCCTACATACTATGACACATACTGTAACATGTACCTCCATACACCGCAACTACACATAACTACACATGCACAAGCATATACTTCCACAGACATTCCTTATGTCCTATGACATACACAGTAACATATACATCCATACACCACAACTACACATAACTACACATGCACAAGCATATACTTTCACAGACATTTCTTATGTCCTATGACATATACAGTAACTTATACATCCATCACCACAACTACACATAACTACACATGCACAAGCATATACTTTCACAGACAATTCTTATGTCCTATGACATACACAGTAACATACACATCCATACACTCACAACTACACATAACTACACATGCACAAGCATATACTTTTACAGACATTTTTTATGTCCTATGACATACACAGTCACATGTATCGCCATGAATCGCACCTAAACAGACACAACATACGTTGCTTACCTATGACTCCGACACACTTATCCAGCACACACATATAT